CCAAAAAAAAAAAAAGCAATGATGGCATCATCCAATAGCTGCAAATGCCAATGTGGACTTTCGCCGATCCGCCCTTTGACCTTGGACAAATTCATTACAGAAGACAGGCTGGTGAAGGGCGCTTTCTGGCCCAAGGTGGCGCTTCTCAGTCATATTAATAAGTAGACCTAGCTCGAGCTGTCTAATAGCATGGTAACCGTAATAGAGTGCACCTATCAGGGGTTGCCTTCTTCCTGGTGAAAACGATTGATGGCATGTAGCCATAAGATCTCACAACACTTGTTGCATGAAGTTTGAATCGTAGAAGGGGGAGATTAGAGCAAGAGCGGGGGCAGGCAGGATTCGCATCACAGGAGAAGCTTTCTCAGCGGGTACCTAGTGGTGCGCTTTAGGCGTTGACATAGAAGCAATATTATGCTTGTTGGAACCAGCAAGACAGTGCGCTACTGAGAGTCGCGGTGTCCCTTGCATCTTGCAGGGAGGATTCGTTAGTAGCGTCTAGTGTTGGTCGAGCTTCTATATTGCCGTTAAAGGTCACAATTGGAAGGAGAGTTGATAGGGACTCATTGTTGCTGGTTGCCGAATAGTGCACAGCAATAAAAACCCAGGGCGCGAATGCTCTAGGACATGGAAGAGTAGTCGCTGCAATTGATATCACCAACAGCTGTAGCTTGTCTCTGTTGACTCCAAACTTCTGTGTTGAGCGCTGGGCGACAGGCTATCAGCAGCATCACTCTGCAGTGTCGACACTCTGGGGACGTTGTGAATTCTCAGAAAGTGCCAGACCACAGCCTGGCGTTCATTGTCCAAAGTTGGCCTGCGGTGTCAAAGGGGCACTAGGGACACTGCATTGGAAGCCTGATTAACACTGACATCTGGCGCATGCGACCAAGACAACAATGGGGACTGGTAGAAAGGGGTCACCGCTAGTTACACTTGTTCCCCTCTTCCTGTTACTCCTTAGCCATGTTTCCGCTCAACCCTTCTCTGCCCCAGTCTTGAATCCCACCACGGCCCCTGTAACAGTTACTCCTGCAACAGAGGCGCCTGTTACGGTTGCCCCTGTAACAGAGGCGCCCGTTACGTTGGCGCCGGTGACATCAGCGCCCGTGACAGCAGCGCCAGTCACCGCTGCTCCCGTCACCCTTCCTCCTGCTACAATCGCTCCGGTGATCACCCCCGCCACCACGCTCCCCCCCGCAACGCTCCCCCCCGCTACAATTCCTCCTGCAACGCTCCCCCCTGCTACAATTCCCCCTGCAACGCTCCCCCCTGCTACA